AGATTATTATACAATTATTCTAGTGAGAAATACGTGGTGTGGAATTAAAAATAATTTTGTGTTATTTATTTTACTTTCTCAATATCAGTAAAGAGATTCTAACAACTATTCTAGTGAAAAATACGTAGAATTAAAAATAATTTCTTGTTACTCATTTTATTCTCTCATTATCAGTGAAGAGATTCTAACAACCATTTAAGTAAGAAATACGTAGAATTAAAAATAATTTCTTATTATTCATTTTATTCTTTCAATATCAGTAAAGTGACTTTTACAACTATATTCTAGTGAGAAATACGTGAAATTAAAAATTATTTCTTGCTAATCATTTTATTTTTCTCAATATCAGTAAAAGGGTTCTAACAACTATTTCAGCAAGAGGTGCGTGAAATTAAAAATAATTTCTTGCTGCTATAACGAGTAATTATTTTTCTGTTCAACAAAAAGCTAACAAGTTTTTAGCGCGTGATTCCATTTTCCGTAACCGATTCCAATTCATTTTAGAATTGCGAGATTCGAAAGCGAACAAATTTTTCTCTAACATTTCCCATTTCGAAAAGTAAATTAGGCACGTAAATTAAGGATCAAACTCATACACGCGGAGAAATGGAACAAGTTGCAACAAATCTTCCTTCACTCTTTTAGTCATATGCACAGGGTAAAGTGAAGTTTGTAAGAAGGAATAAAGTATTTAAATACCCGGGCACGTGCCGTAGGGGGTGAGTATCATAAACCAGGCATTCATGCCCCGGAATCATTCCCCCTTTCGGATGCAATTAAAGTAAATTTCCACTAACAATCGTCTGCTTTTCCACAATGTGGCACGCTATTCGTACTTCTCCCCCTCCCCTAACTAAATGAGACGGGGTCTTTCAAAAGATTTTGCCGTGTGTGTGCTTTGCAAATAAGTGCCCAGGCATCATAACGCGTGATCCTTAATTGAGTCAAATTTTAAATAAAATTATTAAGCGGTATTCCCTTCCCTTCTTCCTGAAGGAAAGAGAACAGCGTGAGTTTAATTCGTTAAAAATCTCTCTTCTGAAACAAGTAGTTTAACTGCTTTTCAAAACTTAGTGCTATAAAAGGCCGTCCGTAAAGCGAAAGAGTAATAATTTTATTGAAGTATATTTCAGGATATAAAACAGAGGATACTTTAAGACCTCTTGTTTCTGGTTTTGCACTGAAACCTCTAATCTTTACCAATAATGTAACATTCTAAATATGAAATAGGTTTTTATCTTTTTAATTTTGTGATTTTTAACCTAATTCTTAAAATCAGAAGGATAAAGCTCACCATTTGAATTTCAGTGTTTTTAGGAAAGTTTTCAGTGTTCTAAGGCTTACTTTTGGTTCAAATCATTTTGCCAGGCAGCAAATTAACAACAGTCGCAGTGTTCTTACAAAAATTCGAAAGAGGTAGGCAATTTATTTTAAACTAACAAACAAAAGTTTTTAATTTGATTTAAAGCTCGCAAAATCTTTAGCTTTCAGAATTCATTAAAAAAAATATCGCGATTTTGTTTATTTATTGTTACAACGTACATTTGTATGCTTGTCTGCTCAATTAGGGCTTATAAGCCATTGCACATAGAAGGACCGACAGCACAATATAGAGAAGGACATCACGAGCATACAACTTGGGTAGAACTGGATTCGAACCCACTACTTCCAATCTTTTGCACGGCGTTTGGCCGGTGATACCGCTCGGACAAGATGACCCCAATAACACAGTGATAAGTCTTGTAACTGAATATTGCTACTTAAATTGTTATTATGCCGTGCTATCAATATTTAATATTTTGGCCGGGATAGCCTGGTCGGTAGGGCGCTGGGCCCAAATTCAAGAGGTCGTGGGTTCGATCCTCGCCGGCCGAAGACTCCCCGTGTAGTAAATGGTGACTGATGCACGTTAAATCTGTCGAGTCTCAAAGTCCTCCATGTTCCCACAACAAATCAATACCTCTGGGGGTACTGATCCAGGAGTTTCCTTGTCTTCTGGATTGGTTCAAAATTACAAGGCTACGGAGTTGAACGTAAGTAGTCGTAAACCCATGAAATTGGGTTGGCTGTTCAACGACGATTATAAAATAAAATATTTAATATTTAGTTTTACTAAAACATTTATTCATTCGATGCACAGCTGCTTACGATTTGAAAATGTTTAATTTTATCTAAAATCGTTTTTTTCTGTCGAATTTTATCGGAAATATAATGAAAATTAGAATTTCAGAAATATTTTAAATCAGTGAAAGAAAACCTAAAATCAACTGTAAATTTTTATCAACTCTACTGGTAGAATAATGGTCACTTCATTGGGGGGGGGGNGGGGGGGGGGGGGTCTAGCGCTTTATCCTCAGATTCACCACGCCTCATACTAGTACTATTTGAGATACTTTTTGCTTTTAAATTTTCGATATGTTTTTTCTCTGTTAATGAATGATAGTGTGCCATAGGTTCGCCATACCTGACCTATAATATACAAAAAATGCTAAAAATAAACTGTATCTTTATTTTTGTAATAATTAAAAGAAGTTAATTAAGTTTAATTAAATGAATTTAAATAAATATTTAATCACATTAAATAGTTTATTTTATTCTAAGCTGCACATTTCTTGGCAGAAATTGCATTGTATGCCATTATTTAAAGTTCGCGGGTTTCAGGAGGACGTTGCTCAAAGTATTTAAGTTCTGACGATTTTAGTTTATATTTTCCCCAACTAGCAGTAAATATTGAAGTTATGTAAGGATAATAAATATAAATAATTAAAAAAAAACATTTTTGACAAAAACAAAAATAACATTTTTTAAATGTATATTTGTTATAATATAGAACATTTCTTAAATTAACACGCTCAATTAATATTCTTAAAGTCACAATTATTTAACATTTAAATGTTCTATATGACACTTTCGGTTTTTAAACGAAATAATGAGAAATACCATTTGCAAAAATATCCCTAATCGATATCAGGAAATAACATATTTCATTTCTTCAAAAATCCCTATTTGTCCCTCTTCGGTCTTTGAAAGGAAACAACTTCCCAGCATCTGAATTTCTAATTACCATCACATGAAAAGAGGTACCAGGGAAAAATTAATCTGAATAATTCTTCGCTACCCCTTCTCACCCCTTTAAGTTGTGGGTATTCATACCCTCCCCTCTTCTTTTCAACCTTGCATTATCTCCTTATGATTGGTTGGTTGAAACGTCTAGGCGCCAAAAAGCGTTTTCAGTAATAATACTCGCAAGATAGAAAATTTTCCCTCTCTGCCGGCTGCTCTTAACTTCGATGAAAAATTGCCACCCATTCGCAGTTATTTATCAAAAGAAGACTCATGATTGGATGGAATGCGAAGGTCACGTGAGCTAACGTAGTTTGAATATCATTTTTGATTAGAGGCTCTTTTCTAGCTTACAAAACTGATTTTTTGGCTGAGTAGTAGAAAAATCGTTTGCAAGAAGTTGCCACGTTTAGATAATGGGAAATTGGAATTCTTTTCATCAAAAAAGATAGCCGAAATATTTAAATTTTCTGGCCATAAATTCTCAGATACTGCTGTACAATAATTTTACGCCGTGGTTGTTCATATTTTCTTCGATTAATGAAGAAAGAAATGAATTTATATGCAATAATATTTTAACCAACAAAAGTAACTAATTATATTGGAAAAACCAAGAGTTTTCGAATCGAACTACAAAGGATTAAATTAAATCCTTTAGTTGTGAGAAAGATAAATATTCTAATATATAAAACGTTTGTGATGGAAATGAAACAATGCATTGTATTTTAAAATATAATCAAACATTTTTTCGCACTTTTTAGTGAAAAGCTAGAATGCGTGTAGAATTTATTATAAGTATAGTAGTGAAACTAGCTTTCCTTATTTAATTAATAAATTAAAAATAATGTTTCGACTTATTTTAAAATTTTCTACTATTTCTGTATTTCTACATTTAAGAGTTTTATTCAATCATAATAGATCTGAGTGAATGGATGTTACGTTAAACCAATAATATAAATATACATAATTATTTTGTAATTTCTTTTCTCTATGCCTTAAAAAAAATCGTGGATTAATCGTAAAAACTTACTACCGCAGCAGGACGTACTCATTTGTTTAGAAAATTGTTGCCATTTTTTCAAGCTTTAAAAGAATGCGTGGACCCCTTTACCCACTCTCAGAAATAAAACTTTCACTTTTGACGGTATAGCAATCCTTGAGCTGCATTTCGGTTAGTTTTGATAAAAATTACGTCAGGAAATCAGGGGATTTGCGAAGATTAACTCGTAAATATATGACAGAGATTTGTTCAAAAGATTACCTTACCGTTGTGTACTGTAAAAGATTGTTAACTAGAAGGAAAACTAGACGATCGAAAATAAAGTAACATGGCATGGTGGTCAAGGAGTCGGCCTCGAATCAGGAAGATCGTGAGATTGAGTGGGTTTAATCTATTCTTCTTCAGGCACTACAAGTTTTTTTTTTTTTTTTTTTTTTTAAGGTAAGAAATGGAATTGCAAAATATTTCTTTAATTTTCACGAAATTCATTTCCTTGCCGAAGTGGCGATAGCTATTGCGTCAATTTGACGAAAAATTCGCTAGGAGCATGTGCCTGGACACGGTTTTGTCAAAAACGAAGAAATTTTCCTGACATTTGAGCATCGATTTTTTACAGTGCAGGCTTTAACATTGAAATAGAAATTATATGCAACTCTTTAGTTCCATACAAGGTCCGTTGCAAACCCACTTGCGGTTGTTCATTAAAAGAAGATTCATGATTGGATGCAATGCAAAGATCACGTTAGCCAACGTAGTTTAAATGTTATTTTTAAGTTTGCTTAAAATTAGCGATATATTTTCTTCCATTGGACACACCATTTATGTCATAAATTTTTTATATAGATGCATACTTTCAAATCATTTGTAAAATAAAAGAATCCTTTTTTTTTGCATATATATAATAGAAAGCAGGTGAATTAACTAGATGTTTACATACCGTCGCAACTGTAGATTCCGTAATGTTTTCCTGAGCTTCTGTCACCACAAACTCTGCAGGGGATGTCAAGGAGTCGATCCTCTAGTCGAAAACAATTAGAAAGAAAAAGAAGAAAACATCTTAGATAAAAAATTTACCCTCAAATATCATAAATTAGATACAGTGATCGCTGCGTCCCAACAATAAGTGAAAAGTAGTAGCCAATTTATGTTAAAATATAGGTTTCAGACTTCACTTTATCTTGAAAAGAATACCATTAACAATTTTAGAACTGCATATGATCACTTAAAATATTACCATATCGTGGTTTAACATATTTTAGTTTAAATAAGTGAAAAAAGTTCATAAAATACATGCATCTTAATTTTCCCTACAACTTTTACTTTTTATTTTAACAGGACGCAGCAGTCACTGTAAATGCAAATATATGATCCAACAAACAGGAATACCACAGGAGACTATTTATGTAAAAAGTGGTAGAAACTCAATTCCCTTTTAATTATTTGCTATATCTTTAATTATTCAATCGTATCTACCTCTATGACTTACATTCATATACAATTATTCATATAAAATTTTTTGCATTCTGAATCTGAAAAAAAAAATGCCATAAGAATTTGCTAATTTTAATTTGTTTTATTAAAATTTCGAATTTTATTAGTCAGTACTTTTTGCATTTTTAGTTGCCCGTGGCAACCCTGATAAAATGCTATTAGTATATAGTTAATAAGATATATTACGAGAAAGTAAGATAGTAGATAGTAAGATATATTACGAGAAAAGGATAGACCTTTCTTTTTTAAATATATAATTCATGTACATTGTATATTTTCCCCAGTTTTCTGTATTATTTAAAAAAAATTTATTTATTTATTTATAATTTACATTTTTGTGACTCATTCCCATCTCGCTATTAAGCTTTTATTTTTATGTCTGTAGGGGAGAGTGGGGTCAATTGTATCATTTTTTACTTAACTATTTTTAACTAACAAAAAATCCAATATATTATCAGTATTAATTGACAGACGAGTAAAGTAGACTATTCTCTACTAGAAAAAAAAANCCTTGTGCGCCACCTAGGAACCAAATCTATAACCCGACACTCGAAATTTTTGCTCTGTTACAATCGTACCCTGTTACAATTGACCCCACTCTCCCCTACTATAGTTTTATATTTTTAATAAAATTTTGCACTTTAAAATTCTTTCAAGTTCCAAAGAAATATTCTATAATTTTGTTTATAACTATAGATAATTTTGCCATTTTTAAAATCTTTAAAAATAATGCATCCAAAATAAATATGGCTATTCAAAAACAAATTTCATTTCTCAATGAGCATTCATTTCAATTTATTTTTCTATGAATACTTTAACTCAATGCATCTAACTTTTCTTATGCATCTAACTTTTCTAACTATTCTTAAGTTCTATATTAAAATTGTGAGACATTTAAATTCTTAAAATATAATTTTTTGTAAAATGAATATAGCAGTTCAGAAATAAAATGCAATTTAATGGACATTTACGAACAATTTCACTCAAATGTACTTAACTTTACATTTTATATTATCTTTCCATAATTTTGCCATTTTAGACAATTACCGACAAACTGCAAAATTTTGTAAATTTTTGAAAAATAACAAACTCTAAAAATAAATATAGCAATAAAAAATAAAATGCATTTTTCAATGGACATATATAACTTTAACTCAAATGTACCAACTTTAAGTTTTACATTAACTGTCTTTAATTTTGTCATTTTTAAATTCTTAAAAAAAATTGAACCCAAAAATAAACCTAGCAATCCAAAAAGAAAATACCTTTTTGAATGGACGTATATGAAAACATTAATTCAAATGTATTGTTACGCTCCATATTAATTATCGATAATATTTTTAACTATCTATAAATTTGCAATTCTTAAAAACTAATTTTATTCGAAAATAAATACACCTATTCAAAAACAAAGTGCATTTTTCAATGAAGAATATGAATACTTTTACTCAAATCCAACCTTTCGTTTTAGATTAAGAAAATGGTGAAAAGTCCAAAAATAACTCCTGTTCCTGCGAAAGATGAAAAAAAAATAATTCGTTCTTAATTATGCTCCTCATCGTATCTAATTTTCCAGAATGCATCCCAAAAAACAAGAATAAAGATCCTGGTAATATATATACTTCTTAGTCTTAGCTTCGAAGACTTCTTGCGCCAAAGTCATGATGGGATGGTTTAATTTATGGCGCAATTTGGCGCACTGAAATAATCAAATAAAGAACGGCAACTACTTGAACGAGGAGAAAAAAGTCATAAATAATGATAACAACATGCTGAGCTTACATTCATGGAATGATCTAACTGGAGCACATAATTATAAAGTAAACTGTGTTATTAACAATACGAATAATTTTTAATAATATTTCCAGGACGGATAGTTCCTTCCGTTATTTTTAAAACAGTTCATTTATCTTTGGAAGAGAACGTAATTTTCATAACATTGCGGGCATTTCATTATTTTTGATGAAGATTGCGTACAAAAAGTTTATTTGGGAGAAAATCGTTTCGGTTGCCAGAGGAGAATAGCGTTTAGGCTTTTATGCAAATTATTAAACGCTTGAGATTTAATCGCTTAACTTTTTGCTTAAACACCTATTTTGAATATGTTGTTTAGGACGCTAGTAGTTTCATGGTAGATTGCAGGTCATCCAATAAAAAAGTTATGCTTTAATTTTATATTATCAAGAACCTGATTCTGAAGAAGCGTTACTATTTGCATAAATTTCTTGTAACTAGTTAAATTATGAGTATAATGTATTTTATTTATTAAAATAATATACTTTAAACAATATTTATTAAATACATAAAATAAAAATTGATTGAATTTTAGAATAAAATTATTTTATTTGCTATAAGGAAAATAATGAAAATTAAAATAGTTTTTTTTAATGCATCTATTAAAACGAATGAATCTATACGATAAATTTCCTTCAGCTTTTTTCCATAGTATATTTTTATTATTATTAAACATCTAAATCAAGTAACTGAAAATTTTAGATAATTCAGGTGCCAAGTAAAAAGGCTTTGATTGCCACTTTCGGCTCACGGACCATAGATTGTGCATTTCTGTTGTAGGTTCAAAAAACAAGCTAATGGGTTAAATTATAGACAAATGACCAAGTCCGATTTGCGATTTTTCAATTAAATTTTTTAATTCAGAATCTTTTTAAAAAATGGAATATTCTCATAGTTTAGCGGAAGCCCTTGTTTTAAATTAAATCAGACAATTCAGCTTTATCAAATATTTTAAATGCCAGTGTTGTTTACTCTAGCTTATAGCTCTATTCAAAAAATTATTTATTGCGCTTTTTGTAATATTTAATTATTTTTAATAGTTATGCAATATTATGTGAATGATCAACATTATTATAGTAGCAGACTACCAAAATTCATTATTATTCGATATTTTGTTATTATAGTAGTATAATTAGCCTAATCGACAGCAGAGCTAAACAAAACGTTTTGTTCATGTGTTCAAATTTTGTTCACGTTATCGTTATGGGGTAATTATACGAGATAATAATAAGAAGAAAAAGATTCATTCAGTTAATTTGTACCTAATTACCGGTGTGATCAGCGTTATATACAGTAATGCTAACTAACACGTTTTTGCCTGAACCGGCGCAAAGCGGTGATTACATGTAGGTTGACCGGCTAATCACCGTCTTAGGCTAGTTGGTAAAAAAAAGAGGAAACATATCACCAATTCCAATCGAATTTTAAATTTCGAGTTTTGATATTCAAAGGTAATTATTTTATTTTACTCGACAAGTATAAAAATCAAATGCACCCCAATTGAGATTTGATCCGACGTGTCAAGCTCGCATAACTGGTGAATATGAAGATTACGAATGAAATATTTTTATCAAATTATCAATAACATTTTAAAATTAGGTTTCTTGCGTGAAATTTAAAATCGCAGGTCTCTGAAGTGACATCTGAATTTGTTCTTTCTGTATACATAACGTATGCATTCGTTTTTATTCTGTGCACAGCTCGAAATACATATTTAGAAAAATGAACAATGCATTTGATGACATTTTTCACACGTCTCTATAATTCTACTAAATAGAAATAAATGCTTTAGGTGATGTCGTCTTGAGCCACTCATTTTATTTTCACAAATGAGTCGCTTTTGAAAAGGTATTAAAAGACAATAGTTCTTTTTATAAGGTTACCACCGTCCTGTAAATTTAAAATAATGATATTAAAAGGTCGTTGTTCAAATTAAGATTTTTTAAAACTACGTAATCACTTGTTGTTCTGAATTTGAGGAGTTGCCTGAAAAGTTACATCTGCAATATACCCAGCCAACAAGACCTCGAAGTCCGGGATTTTGCACGTAATGATTATGCTTAGTGTTTAGAAAAACTGAGTAAATGTAAGTGCGAAATTCCTCTATTAGTTGTTAAATTTAAGTTGAGCATTGAAAATGTATCTATTTTCTTAAATACGCATTGGACACATATTTCGAGCTGTGTTCATTTTTTTAAAAACGCATTTCAAGCTGTGTTCATTTTCTTAAACACGCATTTCGATCTGTAGGGGAGAGTGGGGTCAATTGTAACAGGGTACGATTGTAACAGAGCAAAAATTTCGAGTGTCGGGTTCTAGATTTGGTTCCTAGGTGGCGCACAAGGTGTATTTAATAAATCTACATGTACACCCCTGATGGCAACCATTTTTATGTACTTTTGAAAGAGTTACATCACAAAAGATATTTTCACGCCACGCAAGTACTTTTTTTGGTATTAGAATATTATATTGTAACAAAGTAATTTTGTTTAAACAAATAAAAATTAGTAACCGAATATGTAAGTGGACACTTTAATTAACATTTCAAAAAAAAAAAGATTAGTTTTGCTAATTAACTAGCATTGTTTTTAACAAATGAAGCTGAAATGGCGTCTTGGGGACAATTGTAACAATAAGTAAAGGGACGATTGTAACAGCTGAAAATAAATAATCTTATGTTTACAAACCATTACTTAACTCTTTAAGAACCACCAATAGTTTCCTATATCATTT